CCATAAATTGCCAGTCATTTTGAGGTGGGGTTGCCTTGTAGCTGGTGACTACCTCACAGAATAGCTTACAGTGGCTTGTCCTTGGCAAATTTTGATTGAGCTGAATTTTATACAGCCATTTATGAAGGGTGTACAGAACTATTTTTACATGAAATTCTGATGCTGTGGGATAATAAAGGTTGTAGAACTACATACAGTAACACTGGTATATTGTACAAGAGACAGTCTGGCCCTGTTTTCTGTAGAATCCAACAGACACTAATCGGGCAAGGCCAACATCTTTAACACATTTATCAATGAATTTGCCCTATTGATAGAGCCCTCTTGTGTAGTGCTAGATAGTAAAACAGCTTGTCATGGGGCCAACATGGGGGATGGCTGTAGTATATCTCCCACTGAAAAATGGGTGTGTCATGACCATGATAATTACAAAATCACTTTAAATTTACCATTTGAACTGAAAAAAAGAAAGGAGAGATATGTACTGGCAATTACGATCTTGCTATTGTAAGTGCACATGTTGTTTTTTACAATATGACACATGTGTAGTAACTTTTTCAGATTTCAACAACATATAGAGCTCTCTTGTATTAGAAGTCATCAAAAATTATATAAATATCGGAGAAAAATATCAACAGAATGGTCGGGTGATCCTGAAAACCAAACTTGGAAGACATTTTCCTACATGTTTTGTTACGTGACTGATAGGAAATTGAACATTTGCTTTTGTTTCTTTCTTGTAAAAGATTAATATTCAGACAAACATGGGGAAATGAAATACAGATAACGAGATTATATATTTCACTTGAACATTCATTACTAAAGGTTATGAAGTAAATTGAGACATCGCAGAACATGTCTTTTAAATTATGACTATGCTTGCATGCATGTAAGACGCTGTATTTATTTAAATTTACCTTGAATGACCCTGACATCTTTCATGAAATAATGAAGATGTAAGAAGAGTGATTTTTGCAGCATATGTCACATGCCATGATGCATATGAATATGTTGTATATCCTGATTCACCTAGAATGGCCTCATGATGGGGCTGTGTAGGGAACTGTAGATATGTTTGTTTCTGATAACAAAAAATTCCTCCTCTTTCTGCTGACCTGATAAAGGTATGTGGCTCTATAGAACATACCTATGATGTACATCTGAACTAGATTCAGAAACATCTGCCCAACCAAAAATAAAAACGTGGTCTACCAGAGACGTTATTAAACCAATTTATGGTATACGTATCAAACACATGTTAATCTGAATTCTGCATTTACTGCAGACATGAAATTAATTTTATCATTATAAATAAAAAGGTAAACTAACAAGAAGTATCTTCATTTACTAATTGAAATTTTATTAGTGGATTTTTCATTGCATTAGATTAAATTTGGTAATAAATTGCACTGCAAAATAAGTATATTTTAAAAAGATTGGAGGTGGGAGGAAACCCACATGGTCAGACAGGTGATCTCGCACCTTTTCACATTCATTCGAGGAATCAAACCCCGAATGACAGGGTAAAAGGTGAGTATGTTACCACTGTACCATCCAACCAACGTTAACCTTCCTCTGATAAGAACAGAAATGTTCAGTTATCATGTAAAATAAAATAATGAAGTTTGTTTCAGAAAGCAGAGTATTTTCAGCCTTATGTTAAAAATTTTTGGCTTTTTCTTTTTTTAATTGAAAAAGTCTGTTTGCCTCAGCTATATATGAGTAATTTCCCAATAGGTATGAAAGAATCAGGATTATCTTAAAATCCCTAATTTCTCATTGTATACAGATGTCAAACAGTTGTGGTATTGGAAATCTCTACAATAACTAGTAATGTGCCTGAAATTTTAAGATATTTGTCAAACAGTTCTTTTGTTACTGCTTCTAAAATACTGTAGTGTCATGGGTTATAAGATAAGTATTACTCTGAGCTTTATTTGTCCTTGGGTCTTAAGTTGAACTATTTTGGATTAAAATGTTTTTACGGATTACATAATATTTGTTATCTTCTTTGTTAACCAAAAATGTGATACCTTTATTTTTTTTTAATGTTTTGCAAAATGTTGCACAAGTTTTAGTTCATATTTCCTGCTACTGGTAGAAATTCTAGACACATTTGTGAAATGTGTACATGTATATATGTACCTGGTATTAAATGAGCAAGCTAAATATCTACAAATATGCTGTTTTATTAAGCAGTTGATATGGTATACGCTTGACAAATTGTAATGATGTTTGAGATGTTTGATGGGGCAGTGGAGCATCCACATGTGACACTCCAGCAATAACCTGTGTATACAGTATAGCAGAATATGAAATTGCAGAAAGGTATGGAGTGAACATGCAGATCTGGGATGATGTCATTATTTCACTTTATGATTTTGCAACTAGATTCTTTGCTCAAAATATTTTGGGTCCAACATTAACCAAAATTTATATATAGTTAGATCATAGTATGAACATCTCAACACACCCATCCCTCATTTACCAGTATATCTTTCAACTTTTATTATAAGAAGTCAGGAAATTTGGAATCCGAAGTACCTCTGAATCTCAAAGTTTTATGTTAAGCTCAGTAAGTTAATTAAGTGTGAGAGCTATTCCAATCAAACCTAGAACATTGTAACATTTTTGCAGTGTGGAGAGCTAAAATAGAAACATATATTGTAGTGTATTTAAATTTGGCTTTAAAATTTTGCTACCAACAAAGCGGGATGAATGAGACAAAATTACTCATAACTCATACTCCTACACAACTTATACATAGCAGGAAGAGGACAAATCAAAGAGGACTCAAAATAAAGCCTTGGCGCAGCACAGACACTGTTCACAAATATGTATACATAATTGATAAATATACATCATTTTCTGCAGCCAACTATGCCAACAGTGCTGTACCTCAACCAACAGCAGGTCATGTTATGTGAAAATCAGTGGATATACAAGTCAGCTGCAACAGATAATTCCTCAAATATACCCCTCTTTGTCAGTGTATTGTGGCGAGTACAAATGGGATATAATGCGATGATGGCTTCATTATTTTTAAGTGTGTATGAATTTCTGTGTTGTGATTTATACTGTGCTGTGCTATTATACAGTATGCCATTTCTATTATGCTGTATTTCAGCTTGTAGTTGAAATGAATGTACTTAACAATTGTGTCCCAAGATATGACCCAGATAGAAATCATCCCGTAAACCAAATTATACACATATATCAAATTCACCTCTCCAGACTGCAATTGTCAGAGCAGGTTATACTTACAAGATTTGTCATGAATATTTATAAAGTAACAGATTATTATTTTATGAGGTTGGTAAATATTACACTTAGAAGTTGACAGCATTCTTACAATGTAAGTGTGATAAAAGTAACGATAAGAATGTTCAAGGTTTTACAGATATATGTGATTTTTTCTTGATTTGAAAAAAAAAAATCATGATATAGCTGTCAAAAATGGGTTAGATGTTGTTGATTACTTCTGACTTGTACTATAATGACAAATTTTATTATGGAATACTGACAGAAAACGATTTTGATTGATCATTCAGATTCCAAATTTTTGAATATGTAAAGAAAACCCCATAATGAACAAATACTGTTCTAAAACCCATTTTCTGCAGGTGTATATACCACTGAGACTGCTACTTCAGAATTATCAGAACAGAAATTTTGAGGCCAATAAATACACAATGAAGATAGATTTTTTTGGACATAACAATGGAAGTCACAGAGAAAAATTCTATTCTAAAAGGCAATAGATTTATCAACATTTCAGTTTTAAGTCATCAGTCTCCACTGTCAATGTCTACAAACAGAATTTACATTTGTTTAATTGTCTTTCTATTTTTGCTATAGGTTTTAGGTGTAAATTTCCTTTAGGTAGGTAAAATACAACAGTATTTCATGTTTTATTTGATTGCGGACATATGTATACACATTTATAAGACTAGGAGAGCTACATGGATAGTATCATATACCTGCTGACAGGATTCTTGTTGCTTTGTAGAGTCTGATGCCATAAATTCAGGCACCTCTAGAATTATGGGGATATTTTTGTCAGAAGTTGTGTGACAACTTGACAGGAATATGAGATGGATTTGACATGGAGAAATTTAAAAGACCTGAAATGCTTGGGATAGTATTTTATATGTGGACTTGGCCAATCAGTTCACTTCTCAGTAGAGTGGGAAAATTAGAAGAATATACTGCATGGTCAACATTATCTATTTGTAGTAGACAACTTTGTTAGTTTCATCGTGATAAGAAAAGTTATTGTTTTTATACTATCAAAGAAATATATAGTTTTGATACCAATATGAATGAACTTTTTTAGAATTATAATAGAAGAATTTTTTAAAGAAAATATGTGTTATAGAATACTGGGTACAATTTCCCATTTAAAAAAATTTTGAAATGAACTCCAACCAGCCATTTCTCAGCAGGAATAAAATGTAAGGGTCATATAACCTTGTGAGGTCATTTATCCATCAAAATGGTGTACCAGCTTACAATACAAGGTGTCGGGGAACTGAAATCTGACAACACTAAACCTCTTTTACCTGTAATATACACAGTCCAAGGGAAAAAGGGCCTTTTACTAAATAGCTACACCTGATCCCTGTATTGATGATAAAAACGTGTACCATATGTTTGCTAATAAAAGCACAATGACAAATGATTAAGAAAGTACACAGGACTAGAACAGGTCAAAATGGAAATTGAAACAAGTTACTGTTGGACAGAAAGTGAATTTCATTTTGATGTAGAAATATGTTGTTTTATGTCATTGTCAGAAAAAATGTAACTTGCTTTAAAATTTGACCAGAAATTTTCATTTTAAAAGATCTGGTTAAAAGGCATTTCACTTGCCTTTATGGACCAGAATTTCACCAAACAAGGTTGAACACATTTGGATGGACAGTTGTAATATTATACTGTAATATTAACAATAATAATAGTAATAATAAATGCATTATTTTTGTTTCTTACTTTTTCAGGTCATGAGCAACCAAGCATAGGTGACAAGGCTTAGAAATTGAATCTGGTTGTCAGCAAAAGGATTGTGAGCAGGCAAGCTTGAGGGGAATTCAAGTAAGTCAATTATCTTATTGTAAACTATTGGGGTTTAAAGCTGATTATCTCTCCATTGTGAATATGAAAAACAAACATTCAATCGTGGTGATTGATGCTAGATTACATGAAATTAAAGCCAATTTGGAGTATCCTTGGTGCACTTAGGATACTTAAGGACCATCATTTAGTTTTACCGTAGCTGAAAGGTTTTCATTTCAACCCATTTATACTTCTTCAATGCTTGCATGAAGTTATATGAATATTCCTTGCAATTGATATATCTGTACCACTGTATGTTTCACTAGTGAACAACAGATATCGACTGCCAAAGTTTTTGTGCACTTGTCAAGATCAAATTATGCTGAAGGTTTATCAGGATTTGCTATTCATAAATATAAGTTTGATGGTTCTAAATATATGAAATAAATTCTAAATTTCGTCAGAACATTGGAAGACAATGGTATTGAAATTTACATTTCAGGCAAAATCAGATTTCATAATCAAGCAATAGTCGACACTCTTGTTCCTAAAGATTAACTGCAAAGTTTTATGAAGTTTGTTTCCAATAGTGATCAGAACAAAGTCCTAAGGTATCATTTTCAAACGTTAATATCAGAAATAGTTTTGGATTTTCCAGGAAGTTTGCTTTCAAAAAGATTTGATGGAAGTGCTTGATGTTAGTTAATGATGTAGAGCTCTTTGAAGTACATGTCATGAAAAATGTATGTATTCATTTGCACAGATACAATCATCTATTTGTTGGACAAATAGATGGTGTATCTTGTTCCAAGGGAAATGATATTTACAGCAGTCATTTTCACAATGAAATTGTCAAATGATGCTCCTTCCAAATCTGAACTTTACTGATTTTGAAACTATCACGAAATAACAAATTGAATCATCATATATTTTACTAACTCATGCTAGCTCGATTAAAATCATATAGAGGGGTCTTAATGCAGAAAACAGGAGTACCCAGACATAACCTGTATGGTTGCTCTGGTTGGAAAGATCACCTCTACCTTTTCCAATTTGTTAGAGAAATCAAATTTTGGATGTTACAACTCAGTTTTTCTTTGCTGTCTGCCTCTAGGATACTTCAGACAAAGTTAGTGAGGAAAAAATACCGAAATGTCATATTTATCACATCCTTGGAGTGTGTATGTATTAGTTCTCGGTTATATGAAGAGAGGCTTGAAAACATAGAAATTTATGATAGAGAATAACCTGATATTGTATAAAACTCCTCACAACTGGCCAATAAAATACATTATGTATATTTTGTACCCTAAAGAGATATGGTAAAAATTGAACCTATCTCTAGTCTGGATAAGTCCTGACACTAAATTGCTGCTTAGGAGTTTTTCTCATCCTGTAGATAATGAGATGCATTGCCAGACGAAAAAATTGTCTTATCAGAAGTGAAAGTAACTTTATATTAGTGTACAAATTGATGTCTGTTTCGAATAGGCAGAAATGGAGAGGTTTCTTGATCTGATTTTAAAGGGGGTCAATTGGTTAGGAGCGCTCTAGGCATTTGGGAGTACAAGCAATTAAGTGTAGACTCCCACACACAGTTTCACACCCATCAAAAATTGATAATGCTTGGGGTTATGTCAGTGAAATTTTAACAGCAATATGGTCAACTGTTCAGATATGTCCTTATCATTTGGAATAAAAATGCTGCTGGTTTGGTGTTCTTTTTGATGTCTACCAATAACATTATACATGAAACTTGCTACAGTTTAACTTCAGCATGCTTAAAACATCTTCCAATAAGTAATTATGAATATATATGAGGTCATTTCAGTAAATACTTTAATATTGTTAATGTGTAAATATATTAAGTGTTTATAGTACTTGTGTTTAACTCCTTATTATCATGATCTATGGAGTTGTGTAAATCAAACATTGCTGAGTCATTCTCATTTATTTCAATCAGATGTACTATAGCAATGAAACCTAGAAAGAAATAGTTGATGTTTAATTTATATTGAACAGATAAGATGTTTCACGAAACCTTGATATCCAACCTTTATTTTTTGAGGCAGACCATTAATGATATAAAAAATAGGATATCATATGTATTAATTTTATTATTGCATGAAGGCTTTAACTGTGGTGTAATGTGTCTGCTATTTGATGGACCTCTATGCAAAATATATCTGCAGCAGTGAAATCTGTTGTCAGTGTGTTGAAAAATTTATATATTTATCCATTATCTGTTCGTTTTGGAAATTCTGATTGTAGCTGAAATGCTGTGCTATACTTTAGATTATATACACAGTACAAAATTAGTCTGTATATGGGACCATCAAATCTCATCCCTTACCTAAAGGGAGACTTGATGTCTGAACATTGCAGGTCAAACTGGCCAATTAAACATGTATAGAAAACTGATAAATTTTCATAGAGAGCTTCCTCGACTCTGAGTCTAGATAGTATGGTTCCACTTGTTTTAAGTTGAATCTTTAAGAGGTAACCAGGAAATGTCATAGTAAAGTCTTCACTTTGTGGAGAATTATTCTTTTTGTCGTTGATGTCATTGTCAGAAGATATGCTGTAGAACTTGATACATTGCACTTATTCCCACTGTGGTCGCATTGCAGCAGTGATACTTTACAGGAAGTGTATGTTGGTTTTCTCATGGAATCTCAAGGAGAAAGCTAGGGTGTTTCTCTGATCCAGTAACACAGAATGTTCATAGTTCGTGTAAATAAAACATTTCTAAGTGTTTGTAAAATTCTCACACCCAAAAAATGTCATTAAGAAAGTAACTAGTGTAACAAACTTTGATTGGAATTATTTTCTTGTTGTGAACTGTTGCTTATTTACCCTGCAGTAAGCCAAGGGAACCAAAACATGACCTGTGGCTTGGGCAATGATCAGCATTTGTCAGCAGTTTTACTGACTGGGCTTATTTTGCTAGGCACAGACTTATTGCCAGATAAATTCAAACACAATAAAAAAGAAAATTATTATGGCATCTGTTACATTAAAAACTGAAGATTTAATTTGATTTGGTTGTTGGTGGATTCCAGTCAGACTTAATAATTTAATTCTGAGGATTCATACTTATCGATTACTTGGAATCTTATCGGGTGAGGTTAAATGTGATACTGCCTGAGAGACAGCTAAGATGGTTCAAATATCAGGTCTTCACACTGTCTTGGAATGTAAACAGTTCTGGTCCATTTATGACGGTCAGTTTGCATGCAGTTTGTTGTTTATACTAGACTGTCTGATTCACTGGAGAATCTCTGTAAATGAAAACAAGACAATAACCTCTGAAGGCCTCTGTGTACTGTCTATTTATCCACATAAGCACTCCAGGGTCTGATGAAATATTTTCTTTCCTTGAAATAGGGAAAGTAAGATTTAAGTTATTCCTATCTTTTCTTAGCATACTCTTTCTTTTTTGTTCCCTGAAGTACCTCGAAGAACAATTTCGTTGGTCCAATTTGGTGAATTTATTCACTGTTAAAAACTGGGGTGGTTGTTATGTAAATTTTGGTAGGTATTGCTTATCTTGGGATCACCCTGTACCATCCTCTCCAGCTGTTTTGTTGTAATTTTTACCAACTAGGTGATGTCCCTTTAATTACCTTTACTGTACTTCACCCACCAGGGGGTGCTTCCTATCATATTCAAATGTGTATCCAGAATAGTGAAGGACATAAAAGAAACACAAACTTCATTCATAGTTTTATTTTTCAATTTTACGGGAGGCCTGTAGTTTTTTCTGTATGTAGTGAAAGGAAGTATATCTGAAAATTGATGCCAGGGAAAAACAGGTTTCTGGATTGGTGGGTCTGGAATTGCAAGGTCATAAACATATTTAGCTGAAGTAAAACTACTGCTGTCAGTTAATCAGTCTAATTTCTGTTGAATGGTACATTACAATTTAGTAATAGGTATTACCTTTTAGTTGTTTACAGATATGTGCATCTGTCTGTCTGTAACGATCTTATAGTCTGTTGGGTGTATAGTAGGATTTATGTTTTGCAGTCTCTAATGGATTTCAACAACTGTATTCATTTCATATTTATTCAACATAATTGAAGATCCAAGTGATTTCAGTTAGATTGTTAAATAAAATCCAGACATGATAGTTTTGAATCACAAAGTATAAAAGTTCTAATAAGTTTGACCTTTGACCAGTGGTGTCTGTCACATTGTCATTGATATAACTCAGAATTAGAATTCTGTAATCAGTCACTTCCATCTATAGTCTATATTTTTATCTTGTGTCATTTTTGTCCTGAGGTTGAATTTCTTCTGGTTTTGAATTACATGATTTGATTTGAAGTAGTGATAATATTAAACTGCAATACAATCAACCCTACTGTTAATAAATGTAATGGATAGCTTTTCTATTTGTAATCTGGCATTTATCTGTCTTCAGACAAACTGTTTTTGTCTCTCTGTAACAGTGTACATATATTGCTTTGGAAAAGGTTGTATTGCTCTTAAGGACTTCAAAACAATGATTTCAGATTATGCTTTCACAATCTTGCTTAGGTAGTTTGAGGTTTTCATACAAATAAAAAAACCCACTTTGTTCCATTTGTTTTGTACTGTGGATTTATTTTCACATTTTCAGTATTATCTTTTTATTGATAGAAATGTAAACCAGGAAATATGACAATGAACAGGAATTTGATTGATATGGTTACCATAGTATATATACCTTATAATTGACTTGTCTGACAGATATTTGAAATTTGAAGTGCCCTTCAGGAATTATTGTATTTGTCAAGAAGGCAGCTTAGGAGACCACCATAGTAATTCTGACTCACACCCAGGAGATGGCTTTATTGTCAGAGAATAAAGAAGCATTTGTTTGAATTCATTAAAGAGCAACAGATATTGGAGAGGTTTTTATAAAGCATGGGTTTGCTATTGAATAGATATTTACAGTTATTTTTCCCAATAAGGACTATCGCATTCTACAGAAAGTGTTAGCTTTTCCTACAATACACTCAGATAATTATCATTGTATTATATATGTAAGTGTC